CTCAGTACAAAAGCCTTGCTAGACCTGAATCTTTTAACAGAAATTAACTGTAAATGTTATTCTTAGTCTATTCTTGTGCCCTGCTTTTAATAGTTTAAACAACACACTACAACATAGGAGGACACAAGTGTGTATATGTGCTTAGCAAGTAGTCAGTGGCAAAAAGAAATTACAACTATCTTATCAATAACTCCTTTTTTTCATTACCGAAAGAGATAGACCAAGGAAAACTTGTCATTTTCAATCATTTTTCCTTTCCTCCGTGGTCCACTTGACCACTATTCATTTTGTAAGAAATAAATTATGTTCATAGTCTACCCTTAACATGGCCACTTTTGTATGGCATTTCTAGATCATAGAGCAATATGAGTAACGTGACTTGAATTGTGGGTCCAGTGTTCTCTGGAATCGTAAACAAAGTACCTCAATACTTTGTCTCAGATTTACCACTTAAATGGAAGATTGGGCAGTGAGAAGTATTATATGAACTTCCATTTCCAACATCCTATTTCAAGTATGGAGTTACAGACTGATAATGTAAGGCTATAAGCCCTTTGATGTTGTTTTGATTGCTCAACAGAGTGCATTACCAATACGAAAGGTCTCTAGGAAAACAAAGACCTTTCTAAAACACATTAAAAAGCCAAAATTTTAATGATGGGAGGAGAAGCCTACCAAAAAGTAAATTTGAATTCACTTGCTGGGTGAGGGACTCTATCTTGACAGAAGGACCAGCCCCTTCAAATTCACCTCTGCCTTACTCTTTTCTATCCTTTCCTTTCTTTTTCTTTTCTCTTTTCTTTTCCTTGTTTTCTTCTTCTTTTCTAGAATAAGAGTATTTGTGACTGCATCCAAGCAGCTATTTTCAGTCATCAGACAACATAGATCTTAGTTCTGAGAAAGTTCAACCTCTGAACCCATGCCAGCAACTTTTCACCATTGAATTTATAGTTACAGAAGGCAACAAAATAACTTTCTATCTGTTTACTTTCTCATACTTCTTGTTACATAAACCTGATGGATCCAAACTTATTTTATGTGCAAGGAGGTTTTGCCTGCATGCTTGTCTCTATATTATATGTGGGCAGTACACATGGAGGCCAGATGTGCCATTGATCCCCAGGTACTGGAGTTACAAATGTTTGTAAGCCTATGTGGAGATGCTGAGAATCAAACTGGAACATCAGGAAGAGCATCCAGTGCTATTACCTGCTGTATCAGAAATCTATGGCCATGAAATTCTGTCTTTAAAGATCATGTTCATTGTATGCCTTCTCCAGAAAGCTGGTCTTAACTATTCTAATAAGCTTTGAACATCCATTAAGACCAAAGCAAACATCTTACAAATCCCAATTTACACTCCTTATTAATACTGTCACATATTTTCATATTATGTAAATTGTATTTCATACTACCCATATTCAAACAATAAAAATTAACTTTTCTGATAAGGTTAACTTATTTTCTATCAAATATAAAGAATATATTCACATATATATCTTTGAAGTGTCTTATATTTTACCAGAGACACAACCAACCACATAATCCTTTATTTGTGACTTTATACAGTATATTTGTGACTTTATACAGTATATATCCTCTACGTGTATTGACGTGACAAAATGTCAAAAGTGATCAATATGCCATTTAACAAATGTTTTAGTTGACTAGTTTTCCCAAATTTAAAAGATCATCAAAATCTTGTTATACCAGCTCCAATTCAATGAGGAACCTCCAGAGAAGTCATCAGAATTGACTTGGAAAAGGTTCCTCACAGGACTGAGGAAGTAGAGGAACAGAAGAGAAGTCATAGAGAAGGAGTGGATCGCATTACATCTGGAAAATACCATTTTCTAATTATCATCTAAGTTAGTTTACCACTATCAGCTTCTTTTCCAAAAAATATTTTGTATAAATTTATATGATGAAGAACATATGTTGTGTCTTAATAAAGCTTAACAGAAGGAAAGAAACATTAAAAGTTAAGTAAATAAAAGCCTATAAATTTTATTTATAGGATCTCTATCTCTGCTTTCACATTAGATTCTACAAGCGTCATCTTTCAGATTCCCTTCCATGAACTATGTCCCCATACCCAGTTAGAGGAAAAAAACTCAAAATGAGAAGAAACTAAGGATGGGAAAACAAGGAGCCATGATTGCTCAAACATCTCTGTTTTTACCTTCTTTCTCCAATATTCTAACATCCTCACCTAGCTTCACATGTGCTCTGGTCCTTCAGCAACCCAAGTGATCTTAGCAAGAAGTAACATCATGATCCCACGGAGGTTTGTGGAAAGCCCCCTCACAAAAGGAATTCTTACCTTCAGGTTTGAATTGTAAGTGACTTGAGGAGACATTTGAAGGAGAGTCCCATTCTGTCTCACTCTAACATTGCGGAATTCCTGGCTCCCAAGGATTTTAATTTCCTGGAATCCTAGGTTATTGGGATCCTTGTAGTTTGGACTTGAAATTGTCACATCCAAACGGTTCTGAAACATACCAAGCATAATTATGAATAAATTATGAACTTCTAAATTCCCTATGACTACAAACACTTCATCCTGTTCCACATCCTCAAGCTACTCTGAAGGCCTCTCAATTTCCCTGCTGTTGCATGTTGATGGGGATGCAAACTTATTTTCATATTCCAATGGAGAATGTGGGAAATAGTCATTCTTTTTATATAATTGTCTTCACAAAACAAGCTGGTTTTATTATTATGACTGCCTCTTATTGATATCAAAGCTGAAATAGTTATTAAGAATTAAATCATAAATAATAATTATTTACCCCTGGTAAATATTGATTCTTAAATTATAAATACAAAACATGCATATTCATTTTATGCATATTCTGAACATTATTCACAATATGCTACTCACTTGGGTAACAGAAAATTCACTGAGAAGGAAAATGTTTTTGGCCACAGTGTCTGAAAGAAGAAAGAGATGTCAGATTGTCCTGGTGACTAAAGAAGACAAGTTTCATCTTACCCAGACAGGCACAAATTGTTAGTATTCCTTTATAAACAGTCATTAGCCTAAAGTACAGGATAACCATGCTAGAAACTAAGAAACCAAGATGCACAGACCCAAAGATACTAAGCAATATGGAGGGACCAAGGATGATGCTTGAATTTTACTCAGAAAGGGATTATTAAATACAATGGAGGTGGATAGAGGAAAGGACTAAGTAGGAAAGGAGTAAGGAGGTAAACAGGGATGATGATCTGGTTTAGGTTGGGAGTGGGAGAGGGCTGGAAGAAAAAACAGACATCAGTGAGGGGCATCTTTGGGACTAGCCAAAGACACAGAATGGGCAAGGCTTCTAGGAATCTATTGGGGTGACCCTAACTGAGACTCCTAGCAGCTGGGTTTAGAGAAACCTCCTCTAGTCAGGCAGTACTTCCAGTAGAGCTAAGGGGACATCAACTACCCACAAGCATTCAACCCAAATTTTGTCCTGACTACAAGATGTGCAGGAATAAATTTGGTCTAGAGAGTCTGAGGGAATGGCCAACCAATGATTGTCCCAACTTGAGACCCATCCCTCTATCTGTGGTTCATCAATCATGGCCTCTGACAGTAAAACCAGAAGGAAATGTTTTATCTGAAATCTGCTGCTAGAATGCCTGGTGAGATTTCACCCTCAGCTGAATGATCAGAGGAAGTGAAGGAACAGAGTCTGGTGCACATCCACATTGGCCACACCCTCTCAAGGCACTCACCCTTCGACTGCCCATCATCCCAGAACAACTCTCCTCTTGCTTCTTTATTCTCGTCCAGGGCAATGATAAGACCAAGAGGTTTCTTCCGACTGCGAGGACCAAGATTTGCACAAGAAACAAATCCTTAGAACTCAAAGGAGTTTGGAAAATATTGGCACCAAATTTTACATTGATAAGGGTACTAGTCACAGATGACCTCTTTCCTTCAGAGACAGAGGTAAGAATACTAGAAGACACTTTCTCCAGTACTGCTGTCACAAGTTAGATACATCCCAAACCTCAACAAAAAATGTCCAGACAGGAAACCAGTGTGTGAGCGTCAGAATCACTATATCAGTTACACTCAGTGCTGTTGCTGCATTGACATACAGAATGTGGACTGGACTGTGAGAATAGGAAAGAGTCTCAGACACAGATGCTGTAGCATCCATATATGAGAAAGTGTCTCCACTCACAATATAGAGTTACCATTATATAGGTGAGCCATATTTTATCTGTTTCTGAGCAAAAACTTCCTAAGCAGAGAAAGCATATTTGCTATACAACAGTTGATATAGCCCTTATATTATGGTCTCTTTATAATGAAGGATTTCAGATTTCAAGGATGGGCAAAAATAAAACTTTCATTTTTGCAAGGTAAATTAATATTAATACTAATATTAACATTAATATGCACAGAATAGCCTCAAACTGAAAAGAGAAGGAAAACCAAATCAGCATTGGATTATACAGCTTTTTGTAAAAGTCTGCAACTTGAATAACTAAAGTACTGAGGAACAGTCAAAGAACCAGATAGGCTTACACCATCCTAACAAATCCATGTCTGTTATAAAGAAATACAACATCTCAGTAAAACATTGGCATCAATCTTGAGCTCTTCACTGAAGTTAAGTTAAGGCTACACTTGTGAAATTAAAAGTGATATACTAGTCATTTGAATTTGTGCACTTGAACCCCATTTTGAATCACAAACAAGAAGGGCTGAGTGGGCTGGGGGTAAAGGTGAGAAACAAAAGTTTTAGAAGGATAGATCAGGAATGCGAACCCAGAAATGAGAAGGAGTGGAACCAGAGGAGTAAGCATAGGACGAACTGTCAGAGCAGAGCAGGAAAGGAACCAACAGAATGGAGTTTTCTCAAGATGTGAGGTTTCAGAATTAAAATTGTAACAGCCCTCAGAAAAGCTGGCAGGCTGACCACCACTAGAGCTGTCAGAGTCCTGAAAATTGAAAGGGTTTAAAGTCGAACTTGGTGTACAGCCCTTAAAGAAGCATGTTGCCTTTACATAGACAAGACAAGGAGTGTTAAAGAGAGTATGAAATAGGTCAGTGAAGGCCCTAAGAAAAATCAGAGAGAGAAAGAAACAGATGAATGCTGGTACAAGAATTGGTTTTCAGCCTCTCCAAGGTTGTCAACCTTATTTAATCCCATCTTGGGACCATTATTTGGGTTCTTTTTGCTTTTATCTGCTGATCTCGGTCCCTCAAATAGGCGGACTAACTCTGTGATACAACAGATAAAGAATTTGGTAGCAAAACCTACTCAGATACATTATCATAAGTTAGCTATGGAGGACCACGAGACTCAAGATGAGGTTGTTACTTTATACAGGGTGTATAAAGTAAAACCCATCTCCACTCAACCTAAAAGGGGGGACTTCTGCCCCTAGACCAAGCAGACAGGGGCCACCCAGAACCCCCTCTGACAGGTGACTTGAATTCTTGCTTAGGCTGCGAGGCTAAGCACTGCAAGGGAATATCAATAAAAGATAAAAATATCTCTCTGGGTTCCCTGAGGGACAAGCCTGACTGCATAGTGGTTGATGTCAAAAGTATCCCCTCTCCAGGAAAAAGACATTGGGACGGGTATGGCCCTCATGCCTCACTGGACAACGACAGGGGGACTGGAGCCATTACAAGGTCCCCTTCAAGTACTAGAGGTCAGACCTCTATCCCCTCCTTCACATATTTGAATTGCCATAGCCCTTCTATACTTAGAGAAGGGAGGAAATATCAGGAGCAGCCCTGCTTATACACTGAAGGCCTAAAATCAGCCATAGGCCTAAAATCAGCAATAGGCCTGTCATACATGTACACTAACACCAAGTCTTGGGTCTCAGTGGAAAAACATTGAAACAGATGGCTATAAGCTAACGTAAAAAGGCAGCTTTTGTGGAAATTTACCAGCCTGAGTAGTCATAGACCTTGTAAATAAGTAGCCTTGGCAGACAATACCAACTTAGATAAGGACAAGCGAGTCATAGGCAGAGTCATAGTGACTTGTCCCCTGAACCTTCATCCAGCCGATACCCGGTTCTGAAGATATCTGTATTCACCTGAACACCCACACTCCAGTGTCATTCCCTTCCCCACATCCTGCCTTTCTTGTGTTTATAACCCCTGTGTGAATGAATTACGATTTGAGAAAAAATAAATTATTTTTAAAAAAATTATGATTGCAATCTCCTGCAAAGAACTATTTCAAAACAGATCCACTTCCCCCTTATCCTAATAATCTTTCCTTTCCACTACCTCTGGTGGGTGGTGGGCTAGAGGGGAAGTGGAACCCTTATTAAAGTAGCTTGAAAAGCTAAAAACAAAAAAACAAAAAAATGAAATAAAGGAGAACAGGGAAGGAGATCTCTCAAAATCAACCAGGGTGCACCTCTCAGTCCACAGCTTCTAAAGAGGACAAAAAAACTTCAAGGAGAGTGTATGATCACATACCTTCCTGAACCCACACATGCATACACACACACAGATACAGAGAGAGAGGGGGGAAGACAAAGAGAGAGACAGACAGAGAGAAACAGATAGAGGGGGCAGAACCATCCTTCCTCACTGTACCCCTCCTGCTGATTTAACATGTTCTGGTCAACAGATCTGAACAAAGTGTACACTTATGAAAAGCACAATGCACATTGAGCCGGAAAAAAAAGCATGTTGAGAAAATGACTTTGTCCTTGAGAGTCATGCTTGATGTGAATGTGGCTTTTTATACCAAAGCAATGAGCTCACCAATATGCAAAACAGAGCCCTAGTGCCATCACTCACCTTAAGTTTGTGTTCAAGGCAGATTGTTGCCATGGCAAGATGTAACCCCCTCGGACATGAAGATTAATGTGTTCAAGAGGGGCTGGCAAGGTCATCCACTCGCCTGTTGAATTAATCTCTGCACCCTGTGGCAGGAGACAAGATGATGAGGGACAGAACACACAACTTCCTCAACAGTGCACTCAGCAGACCATGCACAAGTCAAATAATCACCACCATTCATTGCACAGGTCATTATCATACATTTTTCTCCCTCTGTTATGTTGAAGCTGATACATTTAAAGTTTAAGATACCATGAGATAGGAACTCCATAAAAGACCAACTGAGCCAACTAACATGGATCCCTGGGAACACCCAGAGACTGAGCCACCAACCAAAGAAAAACCATGGACAGGATGAGAGACCCTGACACATCTGTACAAAATGTGCAGCACAGTCTCCATGTGCATCACCCCAACAACTGGAACAGAGGCTGTTCTTAAAGCTGTAGTCTGACTGTTGAATCTGCTAACCATCTGGGCTGCTTGTCTATCGTCAGTGAAAGCGAATGAGCCTAGCCCTGCATAGACATGATGTGCTGGGGTACGGCGATAAAATGGGGCATCCTACCCTCATAGTAGAAGAGGAAGGGGAGAGAAAAGGGGGAGAGGAGGAAGGGCCGCTGTGAGAGGATGACATAGAGAGGGGGCCAGCCTTTGGGATACAAATGAATACGATCCCATGAAAATGCCTCGCCTTGGGGAAACTGGGAAACAATGGGA